AACAAAAAAAAAAAAAAAAGAAACGAAAGAAAGAAAGAAAGAAAAGAAAAGAAAGAAAGAATGAATGAAATTGTATACGAAAAGATAAATAAAAAAATTAAACGATTATACGAAAAAAAATAAGAAAAAAATATGGAAAGAGAGAGAGAAAGAGAGAAAGAAAGAGAGAGGTGGTAAGGAAAGAAATTTAAAAGAAAAAAAAGAATTTTTTTCTTAACATAATATGAAACAGGACTATTACTACCCTTGTCCTTCAATTTTTTTTTTTCTTTTCACTCTTAAAATTACATTACATAAAGATGTAAAAAGAAAACAAAAAAAAAGAGAGAAGAAAAGAGAAAAAGAAAAAAAGAAATTTTTGATAAATAAATTTTTATTAAAGAAAAAAAGAAAAACTCGATATTTTAATTTAATTTTAATTTAAGTGTTATGAAATATTTTAAAATTGTTTCCATATATTTTCATCCTTTTCTTTTTTTTTCTCTCTTTCTCTCTCTCTCTCTTATTCTTGTTTTATTTCATAAAATTTTAATAATATTTTTCAATAAAATATGTCGTCCATTTTAAAAAAAACGATGAATTTTTTTTTTTGAATTTGTTAAATATACATGAAAGAAATTAGCCTTAATTTCTTTTTCATTTTTTTTTGTTAACAAAAATTGTTATTTATTTAAGAGCCAGAAAATGAAGAAAGAGCCAAGAAAATATGTTTGGAACAGGTTCCTAAATTCATTAAATAGCCAAATGATGGACAAATTAGCCCAAATGGACATATATGCGCACATAGCTACTCACACACAATTATTATAATATGAAAACTTTTGCTAAACAAAAACTTTTTGCTCATTAATCTAATTATTCATCGAGCTTTTGGCCTTATTTATTAAGCTTTTTGGCCAAAAGTAATGGAATAGGCTCATTTTGATATTTATACAGATATAGCATATATCAATGAAAGAAATATGATTTCTGATATGATAATGATTAATAGATTAAACCTATATATAAATTAATGATTCTCGTCCTTCTTTTTTCTTTTTTAGTACAAAAATGATCAAAAGATTATACGAAACTTCATAATGAAACATATCGGAAGTTACGGAAATTATATCCGGAAAAAAGTCTATATCGGAAATTTTCAAAAAATTTTCTCTATATCCGAAAAAAAGTTTATATCCAAACAAAAAAAATGAATGAAAAATTTTGATAGCTAAAAATTATAATAAAAAATTATTGAATAAAACAAATTGCAAAAAAAAAAAAAAAAAAATAAACAAGTAAAATAAAGAGAATAAATTA